GCGTTCGTCGGCTTTATGTTGATATTGTTTGAAATCTTGTTTAATGGAGGTTTATTATTGTTTGTTTCTTTGTTTGTCTTTGTTTTTTTTTTTATAATTTACGCGTCAGTTTTAGTGTTAATTGTTTTTGTTTTACTGACACTATGAAATGTGGTGGAGTAATGCCGTTTATTTATATCATATTGTTTGTTTGTTGATGTTTTGTTTATATATTGATGTCGTTGTTTACATGTATATTAATTGTTGAAGTTATGTTTATTTGTGTATGTGTCTGGAAGTGTGATGTTTGCCGTCGATTGTGTTTGTTAATACTGTGATTGTTTCCTGACGCCATGCTTGTCTATGTTTGGCTGACACTTGTGCTTGTTTTGACTGTGAGTGGGAGAAGAGGAGGGAGGGGGAGAGGAGAGGAGAGAAGAGAAGAGGAGGGAGGGGGAGGGGAGAGAAGAGAAGAGGGGGGAGGGGGAGAGGAGAGAATAGAAGAGGAGGGAGGGAGAGAAGAATTTGTTTTGTTTTTGTTAATAAATACCTGTCGTTGTTGTACTTGTCTTGCGGTAAGATCGTTTTGTTTTATTGATTCTCTTGCTTGTTATGGCTAATGATGCTTGCGGTGTGATAATTGCTTGCTTGTCTGCTTGCTTGCTTGGGACATCATTCGTTTGGCAGAAGAAAAACTTGCTTTGACTGCTTACGTGATGTGGATTGAAACGCGGGCTTTCTTGCTTGCTTGCTTGCCTGCTTGCTTGCTTGCTTGCCTGCTTGCTTGCTTGCCTGCTTGCTTGCTTGCTGGTGTAACTAATGCTCGACTTTTCTTACTCGTTTTAGGTTGATTTATGTATCTTGTGCATGTTTTTGTATTTAATAATTCAGTTTGTATCACCTGAAGATTAATTCACCTTTCACACCTGGCCTCAGCTGATTAAAACCCTCAGTTGATTTCACCTAAAGATTAAACCTAAACTCTCCTCCGTGAAGATACTTTTTTGAGTGTGTTTTATATTGTGGTTTATAATTGAGTACATACATAGGTACAGACACATGGATATATAAACCAGGCAGTGTGTGTGTGTGTGTGTGTGTGTGTGTGTGTGTGTGTGTGTGTGTGTGTCGTCAGCTGTTATTGTGTTTACATAAGATTATAGCTGATTACCTCACACTAAATTATATAACAATCAGTATGAACACTTTGAGTACAATGACAGTCCTTTTGAGTACGATAACATTGTATACTCAGGGAGCCTTAAACGATACGTACTCAAAATCTGAACGATTACCTGAAGGAATTTATAACTTTTTTGAACACTTTGAACAATTTCATAAAAGGGATCATTACACTGAACATATTTTGAACAATTTCCACAAGACATCACTATTTTGAACCTATTATTATAATCTCATGATAGAACATAATAATATAGAAGTTTATTATTAAATTGACCTTATTGAGAGAGGGGTGGATGGGGGGGGGCGTAATGGATGTATGGAGAGAACCGAGACGTGAATGAACGAGAGAGTGAATGAGTGAGAAAAATAAATAGGAGACTAAATGTGAGATAGAATTAAATAGAGAGAGAGAGAGAGAGTGTGTGTGTGTGTAAGTTTGGTGTTGTATTTATCAGCTTTACTCTGTGTTTGCTTGTTTGTTTGTCGTGTCCTCAGTGTGTACCTTCTTTGTTCTCGTGTGACTGATGTTTTTTGTTGCTGTTGTTTCTCGTGTTTGATCTAATCTATTGTTGTTCCCTTTGCGTGTGTGTTTGAGAAAGGCGTGTTAAACTTTGGCCTTAAGTCACACTCAAGTAGCACCATAGGTAATACTACAGACGTTACTGGTGGAGGAATAATGGAGCAGTTTTACGGAGCAGGAGGCTAGACAGTGAACCGTAACGTAACACTGATATAAAACTGAGTCTTATTGACCTTCCTATACGATGTTTACTAATGTTCATGTGAAGATTAGACACCCCAGTTTGTTTCACCTAACCTAACCTATCCTAAGACTAACCTAACTTAACCTAAGACTAACTTAACCTAAGACTAACCTAACCTAAGACTAACCTAACCTAACCATATGAGAAGTTTGTCTACCTGTACTTTATACCTGAGCTAATATTAATTAAAGTGAGGTATATATGTGTCCTACCTATTTTATCGTTATTTAATTACTGTATTTATGTAACTCAAGCTGTATCTGTACCTATGTTTCTCTGTAATCTGTCTTAATCAGATTTATATAATGGAGGGGGGGGGTGGTAGTGGTGGTGGTGGTGATAGTGATGATAGTGGTGATGATAGGGGTGGGTGGTGGTGGTGGTGATGATAGTGGTGGTGATGGTGATAGAGGTGGTGGTGGTGGTGATGGTAGTGGTGGTAGTGGATATATAATGGTTGTGATTACGTCGATGGTGTTAGGAAATGTAGGTTGTAGTCCCAGAATCTGTGGTGGGGGGAAGGGTTGTGATACACCTCCTCCTTCACCCTCTCCTTCACTCCCACCTTCAACCCCGTTCACTCCTCTACATCCTCTGTGTGTGTTGTTGTTGTTGCTTTCTTCTCCTTTCTTATTATCTTTCCTCCCCCTCCCCCCTCCTCCCTTCCTTCCTCCTCCCCCCAACCAGCTGGCATGTGGGTTATTTAAGACAAACACTAATCAACCATAGTACCTTAATTCCCATGTCTCTATTCGACCACCTGGGGATTACTGACCTTATTCTACGCTGTGGAATTGCATGTTCTTGACCCTGTCTCCTCCCCTTCGTTAATGCTACAGAATATTCTGTTTTGAGACTATCGATGTTATGGTGATTTTGTGTGGGATTTTCTGACCATCTGGGGGTTGTGGTTGTGCTCCTGGTATCTTGAGAGCTGTGGGGTTAAGGGAGGAGGGGAGAGGGTGGTGGTGGGGGTTGAGGGGTGGGGGGAAAGTGTTGGGGGAGGGAAAGAGGTGGGGTGAGTGTAGGTGGGGTGGGTGTGAGGTGGGGGGAAGGCATGGCGCAGGGTGACTGGGGGAAGATGGTAGGTGGGGTGAAGTGATGGATGGGTGGGGAGTTGTGGATAGGTTAGTAGGGGTAGAAAAATAGGTTGGGGAATCGTAATGAGCTGTGGGGGCAGGAGGAGGGGGGAAGTGAACCTGGGTGGGAGAGGAGGGCGAGGATGGGGTTGGGGGCGGGGAGGGGAGAGGAAGGAGGAGGAGGAGGAGGGGGGAGTAGAGAGCCGGTGGGGGAAAGGGGGGGGGTGAGGGGAGGAAGGAGGAGAACATATCGCGTTGGCATCACCTCGGAGCCTCAACGACACGCCTGTGTTGACGCCAGGTCAGCTGGGGCGCTTGTAATTTCTAGCTCGGATGGGGACCCACTGTGACCTCTCTCTGCTTGTGGTCTGTCAATATCGTAAATTTTATGATTGCTTATTTTTATATATTTTTTTGCTCTTTTTACAGTTTTGTCGCCAACGTCATCGACTATCTCAGCCTGTGTGTGTGTGTGTGTGTGTGTGTGTGTGTGTGTGTGTGTGTGTTTGTTTTAAGTTTCGTGTGCTGGTGACTCGACAATGGCGTAGGGGTTTTTTTTATGGTTGGTGTTTGGTTTGTATTTTTTTCGTTTGTTTGTTTTGATGGACTACACAATGGCGTGTTTGTTGTTGTTTGTTTGGATACCGATGTTGTTGTTGTTTATTCATTTTTATATTTTTTTATTTGTTTTTAACTTATTAATTTTTGTTTTTTTGTGATTTTTTTTATGTAAATTGTGATTGTTTTTTATTTTTTTTCTAGTTTATGTTTTTGTTAATGCTGTTCTTCGTGTCCATGTTGCTGTTAAAGTGAGTGAGACAGACAGACAGGCTAATGACAGGAGGTGAATAATGTGTGGGGTAGCCTAACCTTCTCCCTCTCCTCCCCCCTCAACCCCCCCACTCAGCCCTCTCCAACAGCTGATTACGTGAAGGGGGTAGGGAGGAAACTGCGGGTATGGGGAGGGAGACAAGGAGAGTGGTGGAGGAATAGGGAGAGGGAGATAGTGAGGGGAGGGGGGGAGGGGGCGTTGGAGGAAGACATGAGGGAGGGGGGGGGATTTTGTATGCAGAAACGAGTCAGACAGACAAAGGCAGATGAACAAACACTTAAGAGTGAATGAGTGAGGGGGAAGAGGGGGGTGAGGGGGGGAAGAGGGTGGGGTGAGGGGGGGTAGAGGGTGGGGTGAGGGAGGGGTAGAGGAAGGCGGTGGTAGTATCAAGTGACTACCGCGTGACACCCACCCAACCACTATCACCACCACTACCCCAACCACTATCACCATCACTACTACTACCACCACCATCACTACCACAACCACCACCATCACTACTACCCCAACCACCACTACCACAACCACCACCATCACTACTACCCCAACCACCACTACCACAACCACCACCATCACTACTCCAACCACCACTACCACAACCACCATCACTACTACCTCCAACCACCACTACCACAACCACCACCATCACTACTACCCCAACCACCACTACCACAACCACCACCATCACTACTACCCCAACCACCACCACAACTACCACCATCCAACCACCACTACCACAACCACCACCATCACTACTACTCCAACCACCACTACCACAACTACCACTATTCATCATTATTCAGAACAACACAACAATCTTTATTTTCCTTACACATCCATGTACACATATTTATACATTCATGTGTGTATCTATTCCGTGTACATAAACAAACACCTGTGTCTATAAACGTACACATTAAAATAATCATGTGTACACGTATACATCAGTCGTTTGGCATAATCATGTGTACACTAAGGCCACATGTACACGGAATAGTATGTGTGTTTTAGTCATTCATGTGTACTGTAGCTGCTATAGTAGGGGTTGTTTACTTGTTTACTTTGTGTATTTACTGTATTTGTTTACATTTGTTGACGATTGTTTTTTGACTGTGTTTATTGATTGTTTACTTGTTTGCTGACTGGTTTGTTTACTTACAGGTGTGGCTCCTTCCCCAACCCTCTCAGGATCTCGGTAAGTCTCCAGTTGTTGTTTTTGTTGTAGACAGTTCTCTCACCTCTCCCCCCCCCTCTCTCTCTTCCCTCTCACCTCTTCCCTCTCTTTTTCCCCTTTCCCATCCCTTCACTTCCTCTCTCTCCCATCTCCCCATTCCTCTCTTCTTTCTCCTCTCTTCTCTCTCACCATCTCTTCCTCCTCTTCTTCCCCTTTCCCATCTCCCCTTTACCTCTCCCATCTCCCCTCCCCTCTCCTCACCCCCTCCCATCTCTTTCCTGTATAGAGAGGCAGTAGTGCCGTTATCTCTCTCTCTCTCTCTCTCTCTCTCGTTTCTTCCTCTTCCCTGTCTCTCCTCTCGTAAATCCTCCTCCCTCTCCTTCTTCCTTTATTTCTTCCTCCTCCTCTTCCCTTATCGCCTTGTCATCACTGGATCCTCTTCATTTCTCTTTTCATTTATTCATTTTGTTTCGCCTTGTCATTCTCTTTCTGTTTATCATAACATGTAAGAGAGAGAGAGAGAGAGAGAGAGAGAGAGAGAGAGATTTCTTATTATTTCGTTATATTTCTATTAATTTATGTATTTTTCTTTATTATTGATATTTTTTCTCGTTTGTTACGTTAAGTTCCCGTAGAGTTTCGTTCTCTCTCTCTCTCTCTCTCTCTCTCTCTCTCTCTCTCTCTCTCTCTCCTTAAATATAATTCACTTTTCCCTTTATATTATTTTTTATTCTTGTTTTCGTTATATATTTTTTTTCTTCACATTTTTCTTTTATTTTCTTCTGTCTTTATCCTCACCTTCCTTTCACTTCTTCTTTATTACATGATATCTCTTGTATACCTCCCGGGTCCTTGTAAAGTGTGTGTGTGTGTGTGTGTGTGTGTGTGTGTGTGTGTGTGTGTGTGTCCCTCCCTCACACACTCACACTTAATGGCTCTTGAAGATGGTGGGAAGATTTGTTTCTGCTCCGGGAGAGGAAGAGGAGGAGAAGAAGAAGAAAGAGGAGGAGGAGGAGAAGAGGAAGAAGAGGAGGTTGGAAGGACGGTTTGGTTAGGTTAGTGTTTGGTTAGGTTAGTGTTTGGTTAGGTTAGTGTTTGGTTAGGTTAGGTTAGTGTTTGGTTAGGGTAGTGTTTGGTTTGGTTGGTGTTGGGTTTGGTTAGTGTTAGGTTAGGTTAGTGTGTTGGGTTGGGTTAGTGTTTGGTTGGGTTAGTGTTTGGTTGGGTTAGTGTTTGGTTAGGGAGTTAGTGTTTGGTTTGGTTAGTGTTTGGTGGAGTGTTTAGGGTTAGGTAGTGTTTGGTTTGTTTGGTTAGTGTTTGGTTAGGTTAGGTTAGTGTTTGGTTAGGTTAGTGTTTGGTTAGGTTAGTGTTAGGTTAGGTTAGTGTTTGGTTAGGTTAGTGTTTGGATAGGTTAGTGTTTGGTTTGGTTAGTGTTTGGTTAGGTTAGGTTAGTGTTTGGTTTGGTTAATGTTTGGTTAGGTTAGTGTTTGGTTAGGTTAGTGTTTGGTTAGGTTAGGTTAGTGTTTGGTTAGGTGAAATAACTTATGGTGTTTAAGCATCAGTTGATCTTTTTATCTTTATTGTAAACATAATATTATCCATTGTTATCACCCATTGTCTCTCTAGTGTTTACTGTGTTTGGTTCTGTGGAGTAAACAAACCATTTTTAAAGGAGGAGGGAAGTGAAAGACAAATAGAGAGAGGGAGGAAGAGAGGGATATTAGAGAGAGCCGCAAGAAGGTCGACAATCATGAATCTTTGGGTAGGATCGAGGACCTTATGGCATTAGGGTACAGGTGTGTCGGGATGATGCACACACCTGTCTGCCTCCCCCCCCCCGTACACACTAATTAATGTAACACCTGCTGAGTGATGAACTATTATTGCTGTGAGGGTGAGGGGGGGAGGGGTAGTTGGTGAGGGGGAAAGAGAGAGGTATATGAAGGTAAGGGAGTAGTAGTAGTAGTAGTAGTAGTAGTCGTAGTAGTAGTAATAATAGTAGTAGTATGATAGCTACTTATGTATTAGGATATTTAATTTTAAGGTAATAAAATGGCGGCGAAGTGTGTGGCTATTGGGGTACATGTTAACACATACCTAGTATATATTAACCCATGTACGCTGGATTAACTAATTATGTATGTGTGTGTGTGTGTGTGTACATTCACCGGTGTGTGTAAGCAGGTGCCTATGCATGTGTGTGTGTCAGCAGTAGGAGGGAGGGGGAGGGAGGTGGGGTCAGCAGTAGGAGGGAGGGGGAGGGAGGTAAAAATATTCGAGGCAGGAAGAGGTAGAAGGAGGCTAAAGGAGGGGATAGGAAGAGACAGAGGGAGGTAGGAAGAGGGAGGAAGAGACAGAGGGAGGGAGGAAGAGTAGGAGGCAGGAGAAGCTCGTGGTTGTGGTCAGCTGAGCCACTTGGGTGTACAGTGACACAGTGAAGGGTGAGCCTCAACACCGTCTGGTGGCTCCTACTCCTCCTCCTCCTCCTCTTCCTCTTCCTCCTCTTCCTCCTCCTCTTGGTCTTTTCCTTCACTTCTTCATATCCTCCTCCTCCTTCTTCTTAATCTCTTCCTTCTCTTCTTCATCCCCTCTTCCTCCTCCTCCTCCTCTTCTTCCTCTTCCTCCTTCTCCTCCTCCTCTTGGTCTTTTCCTTCACTTCTTCATATCCTCCTCCTCCTTCTTCTTAATCTCTTCCTTCTCTTCTTCATCCCCTCTTCCTCCTTCTTCTCCTCCTCCTCCTCTTCCTCCTTCTCCTCCTCCTCGGACCATTTGAAAACCATTCCTAATCTTAAATGCGGCAATAACGTGGTACACCTCCTCGACCATCACCAACTACCAGGCCATTTTCGATCTTGTGTCAGGATGTTGTAAGGCCTAGAATACCTTGTAGGGGCGGCGGGACGGGTTACTGCAAGGAACTATAGCCTCTCTGACGTCGTGGTATAAGGGTGAAAATGACCTTTTTTGTGTATGAGGCGGAAGAGGAAGTTCATGGGTAAGGGAATTTCACCTTCTTTAACTACTAGCTGTAAGGGTGGTAATGCCTTGTGTGTGTGTGTATGTCTATATATATTAAGATTTCGGGGACATCATATACACCATGAGATTTTGGTCTCTATGTCAGCGTGGCCATAAGGACGATAACAGCGATAGACTTAATGTGTGTATCTGTAGAGGCGACCGGAAGCGTAACATGTACCGAACTATGACCATTTATCTCTTCAGGCCATAAGGTTGAAAATGGCCTCTAGTATTCGTATAGGACGGCAAGAATACGATATCCCCGGAATTTTGACCTATATTGCACTCTATCCCAGGGGTGATAATTGCCTGGCAGCGATGTGTAGGGCAATGGAAGGTTATGTGCATGGGGTTTTGGCCTCTGTGGTAGGTGTCTGTAAGGGTGAGGATGGCGTGTGGTAGAGTATCGCCCCCATCTTATTTACGTGCTGGAGAGGATTCTAGAGAGATGCCTAATGTCTGATAACATGTTTAAATATGTGGCTGTTTTTCTGGGACATATATAGTGGCCGTAGAGCCTGCCTTGGCCTTCCTCCCAGCCTTCTCTGCCTGCCTCCCAGCCTTCTCTGCCTGCCTGGCCTTCCTCTCAGCCTTCTCTGCCTGCCTTGGCCTTCCTCCCAGCCTTCTCTGCCTGCCTGGCCTTCCTCTCCAGCCTTCTCTGCCTGCCTGGCCTTCCTCCCAGCCTCTCTGCCTGCCTCTCAGCCTCTCTGCCTGCCTGGCCTTCCTCCTCCCAGCCTTCTCTGCCTGCCTGGCAGCCTTCCTCCCAGCCTTCTCTGCCTGCCTCAGCCTCTGCCCGCCCGGCCTCCTCCCAGCCTCTCTGCCTGCTTGGCCTTCCTCCCAGCCTCTCTGCCTGCCTTGGCCTTCCTCCAGCCTTCCTCTGGTCCTGCCTGGCCTTCCTCCCCAGCCTCTGCCTGCCTGGCCTTCCTCCCAGCCTTCTCTGCCTGCCTGGCCTTCCTCCCAGCCTTCTCTGCCTCGCCTGGCCTTCTCCCAGCCTCTCTCTCTTCCTCCCAGTCTGCTTCTCTGCCTGCCTCCCTGGCCTGCCTCTCAGCCTTCTCCGCCTGCCTGGCCTTCCTCCCAGCCTTCTCTGCCTGCCTGGCCTTCCTCCCTCCTCCTATGCCTCCTACTGCCTGGGTCGGTGAACTCTACTATCAGACCCTGACCACACCTCATTCTGGCATCCCCTTTCTCTCCCCCTTCCCTTCTCCCCTTCCTCCCTTCCCCTTCGCTTTTTCCCCCCTTACATTCCTCCTTTTTTCCCCTGCCGCCTTCCCTCTTCCTCCCCCTTCTCTTCTCTCTCTTCTCTTCCCACCTACTCTTTCCTCAATATTTTCTTCCCTTACCCTCTCCCCACCGTCACCTCTCACCCCCACCTCCCCCTCCCCCAATATGTGGTGAGGGGAGAGTTATCGTAAGCTATTGATTAACTTAACACGATTTAGTTGTGATTCTCAGGGGAGGTTGAGTAGGAGGGGAGGGGAGGAGGGGGGTAGTGGGGAGAGGAAGTGTTGGGGAGAGAGAGAGAGAGGAGGACGAGGGGATGTGAGAAAAAGAAAGGAAAGAGGAAGAAAGGAGAGAGAGAGAGGGTGGTAGAAGGTGTCAGGTCAGGTCAGGTCACTGGGAGATACAGTTACTATTGTATTTATCACATGTCCGTCTCTCTCTCTCTCTCCTGTCTTCTCTCACTTCCCCTTTCTCCTCTCCTCCATCCCTATAACCTAACTCCAACCGCCAGGTAGCGTTAGTGTTTAATCATCAGAAATGCTGAGGGTTGCTAATCGTCAGGTGAACCCCAGGAGGTGGTCAGAGTGGTCAGGTGAGGGTGGGGGTGCATTGGGTCAGGGTTATGGTGAGGCTCTTCCCACCTTTCTCCTTCCCCCACCCTCTCCCTACCCCCCTGTCCCTCCCTTACTCCTCCAACTACCCCCTTCCCAACCCACGACCACAACGGGCATGTACCCACACTAGGGGGTCAACCACACCATCACGACCACACCATCACGACCACACCACCGCAACCACACCATCACAACCACACCATTACAATCTTTTCTTCATTTATCTGCATCTCCTCCTCTTCTTCCTCCCCCTCCACCACCTCCTTCCTCTTCCTCCTCCTCGGGTGTCAGGGCGTCATAAATTAAGGAACAAGTCAACACACATAATGGTGCAAATTGTACCCGTAACACCACTTATCTTCATCTTCTCCCACCACCAATTACAACCTTTATTTGATTCACTGGTGTGTCTTTTTACTCTTCTTCCTCCTCCTCCTTCTTCTTTTTCTTCCGTTTGCTTCTTCTTCTTCTTTGTGTTTCATTTTCTCTCTCCCCCTCTCATCATACTTTCCCTCCCCCTCCTCCTATTCCTCCTCCTCCCCTTCTCCTCTCCCCTTCTACCTCCTCCTCTTCTTCCCCCCTCTTCCTCCTCTTCCTCCTTTAGCGATGTTGACACAAGGAGTTTTCACAGCTTGAGGTGATTGAGTCGGGAGGGGAGGGGGGGGGGGGAGTTCCGGTCCTGTGAGTAAGCACCTGCAACACAAGTAAGTCTCTCTCTCTCTCTCTCTCTCTCTCAGTGATTAATGCGCTTTTACACAATTTATACAGCTCACCTGTTTTGACACCGTAATTATCTACCTTACCTGTGAGTGAGGGACGAGTATTAGTAAAAACAAAAAAGCATCGAGGTAAAGAGATCGGAGACCATAAAAGAGTGGATTTAACTCCACGTAATTGTAATCCCCGATTCTATTTTTTTTATATATATACTGTATATACTACGCCATTATTTGTTTACGTCACGGATGGCGGGAAAGCAGTGGCATTGATTTGAGTGTTATTACAGTATTTACGGATTCTATTTTTGTTTTAATAGGCTGTCATTATTTATACTTTAAAGTGTGGATGGCGCCAAAAGAAAAGACAAACGAGCATCGTTTTAGTGTTATTATTATCGTATTTATACCGTCGCTTCACGAATTGAGGTAAGAGTCGGACACCGTAAAACAATAGATTCAACCCCACGTCATTGTAGTCTCAGATTCTCTTTTGTTTTGTTTTTGTTGCTCTTTAGTTCACCAATTGTCTTTTATTGTCTGATGGCGGGAAAACACGGTGTTGTTTTAGTGTGTATTATTAATGTCTGATCGCTTTAACGAGGCTGGGAACACTGTGGGAGGGCAATAAAGTCTCAGTAAAGGAGTTTTAATGCCACAAAAGTTGTAAAATAAGCGCCTGATACATCCTGCTGGGCAGAGAGTTAAAGCGTTTATAGTTTGAGGTTGGAAGGTTAATATTGCTTGTGTAAGGAATATGCTCTCTCTCTCTCTCTCTCTCTGTACCATAAAATAGTTTTAATTCTACCTCCTCCTACCCTTACTTTCCCCCTCTTCATCCTCTTTTCTCCCTTCTCTTCCTCTCCCTATCTATTTTTCCCTTCCTCCTCCTATCCTTTCTTTCCTCCTCTTCCCCTTTATTCTTTCTCCTTCCCTACCCCCCCCCCACCCCAGCGCCGTGTATTTAGTCTCCATTATCTTGTTTCTTGGTGATTTTAATTAACGACTCAAGTGTCGGCTTGCTGGGGTGGTTAACTGTGTTCATGTTACTCCCCTACCCTCTCGCCTCCTATCCCATCCTCTCCCATCCCCGCCTCTCCCCTCAACTTCATTTTCTATTTCCCGCTTCCTCTTTCCTCCCTTTCGTTTGTCTTTATTATTGTTATTATTATTATTAGTATTGTTGTTGTTATTGTTGTTGTTGTTGTTGTTGTTGTTGTTGTTGTTGTTGTTGTTAAGTTACTTGTTGTAGAGAGTAGGTAAACGTGTGAGTTTGTTTACTAACTTCTTTTTACGTGTTTCAGGTGATGGGTGTGAGGGTGCGGGCGCGCGGGGGGGCGTGGGCGTGATGGTGGGGCGCCCGTAATGCGCGAGTCACCCCTGGAGGGAGCCACCGCCCCCCGGAACAAGCAGGCGCCCTCCAGCCTCAGCGGGGCGACTGCTGGCTCCGTGGGTGCCTCCGCCCACCCACACCCCCACCAGCCACCCCACCACCGCCCCCACCACCCGCCCAAGCACCAGCACCACTTCCACCACCACCACGCCAATAAACATCACCAGCAGCAACAACAACAACATAACTACCACACGACGCCCAACAAGACGCAGAGCACCGCCCAGTATCAGCAAGGTAAGCAGAAGAGCGTCGCTTACCAGCAGGGCAAGCAGCAGACGCCGCAGCAGTACCAGCACCAACACACCACCTCTGCTGCACCCTCGTCCCAGCAGCAGAGGAGTCAGGCGAGTCAACAAGGGCAGCAGCAACAGCCCCAACCACAGCAGCAGCAGCGCCTCCAACAGCAGCAGCAGCAACAACAGCAAAGTGGAGTGGCAGGACAGCCTCGGCAACAAGCACCCAACTTCGAGTATGACGACCAGGAGTGGGACGTGGGCGTGGGCGACCTGATCATTGACCTGGACGCCGACATCGCCCAGGCGGACCGTGGGAGGATGAGCTCCGCCGCCCCGCCCCCCCAGCACCACCATCATCACCATCACCACCATCATCACCATCACGCCAACGCCTCCTCCTCCAACACCGCCACCGCCACCACCGCCAGCGGCCCCCAGCAGCAGCAACAACAACAGGCGGGTGGCGGACAGTCGCAGCAACAGACGCCAGAAGACAAACACAGCCTCAAGATGAAGATCAAGAGGACGAAACCGACCACAAAAAACAGCGAGGCCAAACACGAGATCGTCAAGCCCGACATGGGTCCCGGGCCGCCTCACCCAGCCCCTGCGGGACCCCTGCAGCACCACCACCAGCTGCACCAACAACACCCGCCCCTACCGCAGCAACAACAACAACAACAACAACAACAACAACAACAACAACAACAACAACAGCAACAACAACAGCAACAACAACAACAACAACAACAACAGCAGCAACAACAACAACAACAACAGCAGCAACAACAACAACAACAACAACAACAACAACAACAACAACAACAACAACAACAGCCGCCACAGCAGCAGCATCCACAGCATCAACAGCCTCCCCAGCAGCAGCCACAGCTTCAGCAGACGACGACTCCGCCGCCCAACCATCACCACAACGGCGCTCACATCAAGTTAGAGGGCGGGGAGATCAACGGGCGGCCAACACCCCCCCGTTCACAGCCTCATGTCCGCGCCACCCACAAGAAGGACAAGCGGCGCCACGACCTCAACGGCACGGCGTCGCCACCCCCGCCGAGCGTATCGTCCCCAAGGGCACTGTCCACGCCCCCAGCGGCAGCGGCGCCGGTTATGGTGGCGACGCCGGGTGGAGGTGGAGGGACGTCGGGTGGCGTGGCATCACCTCCCTTGGCGACCGTGAAGCTGGAGCCTCGAGCACCCAGCTCCTCCCCCAGCAGGGCCACCACGCCCCTCACACACTTCAACCTCAAGAGTGAAACACCGCCTCCCTCCAAGCGACCTAAAGTAGTAAGTACCAAGACCTCTTGTTTTATTATGTAGCTTTAAGAATCACCTGAAGATTAACCACCCTAACTCTACCTGGGGGGGGGGGTGACTAGGTTAGGTTGGCATTAGAGTGTTTAATCCACAGGTTGAAATAAAATAGTCTAATCTTCAGGTAATCTCAAGATAGTGGTATACACACAGGTGACCAGAACATAAGGGTTACTGCCTTGTAGGGGGGCAGCAAACTGATCACCTCAACCTGTTTTTGTTGAGCCAAACCCACACACAGCGAGGCACCTATGGACTCTCATGTAAAGAAGGAGAGTTGTCCATAAATCACCTGTCACACTCAACAGGTATTGTGTACCGTAAGGAAAAACAAAACAAGAAAAGCTGGATTCTTCTGGAAAAACAATCACTTTACACGTCTCTCTCTCTCTCTCTCTCTCTCTCTCTCTCTCTCTCTCTCTCTCTCTCTCTCACACACACACAGAAGCACCAGGTGAAATAAAAACAATGGTGACAATTTAAAAGACAAAAATTTAAGGGATCTTTGTTTTCGTTTTTTATATACGTTTTATTTTCTACGGTGGTGGAATGGTAAATATACTGAACTATCCTGCCTGTAAACTATCCTGATCGTAGACTATCCTGACCGTACACTAAGAAAACACTTTGGAGAACAAGGCGTGTCTGAAGAACCCCAACGGCTCCTCCTTCCCCATCCCCCCCACCCCCCACCTGCCGACAGACTGAGGGGGGGGGGGGTAAAAATAGCTTGTGAGAGTAGCATAGCATTCTATTACCCTGGACCAATCTCTGGGCGTGGTCAGCTGGGGTTGAGGAGGGAGGTAGGATGGAGGAGAGTCCTAGATGGTTGAATAGCATGGCTGAAGATCCTTTAGTGGTGTTAGGAGGCCGTAGGATGAATGAAAGGAGCTGCAGATTGGAGGGGAGAGGCCTAGGGTGGTTGAAGATCCTATGGTAGTGGTAGGAGGCCGTAGGATGATAGGAAGGAGCTCTGGGGGCGAGGAAGGAAGAATGGAAGGAGGTGGGGGAGTCCTAGATGTTTGAGTATGATGTTTGAAGATCCTTATTAAATTAAATCCAAGATGGGGAAAATAACGTTGCAATGGGATGAAGAATCAGTCGTCAATAGGTTCTCGGTCTCATCCTCCGTAACTTAAGAATCTTTGAGAATCAGTTAGTAGTTTCCGACCGTGGCAGTATTACTGTTGGTGATTTATTGCACAGTTTTACGTCAGTGTTATTGCTGTTGACGTCATCACTCTCGTCTCGTTTACCGAAAAAAAAATGTTTGTAAAGTCAAAAGAGAAAAATTGTTACGTTTTGGCAATTTCATTTCATTTACGTTTTTTATTTATTTTTTTTTCCCTGTCCGTTTTATACCATTTTTTTTTCTTTTTACTATTCCGTTTATCCGGTGGCAGTTAGTTCTTGTATGACGGGAGACGGACGTAAATTGATGAGATAATCAGGAGAGTGAAGGAGGGCTTAACACTTTTGTCTCTGTTTACATCAGCCACCACCACCGCAGCGCTATTTTGATGCTCCTATAACCATGTATCGCAGCAGTTGTACAAGGGGTTTGGCGGGAAGGAGACGCTGTTTGGGCATTACTTTGTCATACTGGGAACATAATCCTGCTATTGAAGCTTTTGCAGCATTGAGGCTCAAAGATTTTCACGGGAAGAGCAGTGGCTTACGTCTTTTGTGTTCCCGGACGCGCGTAATTGTTGGCGCGAATGGCGTGGAGAATTTTCCCGCCCCAGATGGTGTTCTGTTTTTCCTGGGTTGGCGGTGCAAACTGTCAGGTTGTGGCGAGTCTACGATCACATTCACATATATAGGAATTTCTGCGTTGTCTTTTATTTTACTGGGTGTATTTTTGTGCCACGAGATAATGTATATAATATGATAGCAGCGGTTGAGAAGCAGCCCAGTGTCTGGGAAAATGGTTCGGGTGAGCGAAGGTTTGTGTGAGCGAGAGAGAGAAGCAGGGCGGCCAGGGTGGGTGGAAGTGTTGAATAATTATATGCAGCCGAGCGGAAGATTATGTCCCTCACTTGGAAGATTACACTCTTAAAAACTTGTGATTGTCCTCTCTCTCTCTTACGCTCATATAGATACATCCCTTCATTATTCTTCTAATGGCCCTATAACCCTTCATGACCACGCCGACCATACCTCCACTAACACACTTTTGCTGCTGTATAATAACAATCCGAGTTCTCGTTTTCATGGGAGGATAAATATGTGGGATTTTTCTACAGCACAAAATCCAAATCGAAGCTACAACAGTAAAAGTGAGAAAAAAATCCCTAAAAGTCTAGCCAACGGCAGCAATAGCGGTGAGAAATAGCTTAAGCCGTGGCGAGAGAGCGGAGGGAAAATAGACCTTGTGTTTGGGCGATATAGAAGCGGAAACCTTATATCTTCAAGGGTGAGGGATGACTGCCATAGGGACCGGGTCTGAAATCCTCCCCCAGATGATGCTCAGTTTTTCCCCTGCCTATAGGACTGTCCCAATTGTCTAAAGCGACGTTTATCAACCATTGGACTATGTTAATAGCTTGGCCCTACCAGATGGGGGGTAGGTAGTTAGCGGGATTAAAACAGATTGGTTTTCAGCTCGTGTGTTTGTATAGTTGTCGTGAGGTGTGTGTGTGTGTGTGTGTGTATTGATTGTTATCTCTGGAAGGCCTGGGGGTGAGGGTATTTGTTACATCTGAGAACTTTCACAAACATGTAACATATATACACACACAAGAGAAAAACATTGAAAGACACATATACACACACACACACAACGACACGGATACACAAAGACTTACCTAAACACACACACACACACTCTCTCTCTCTCTCTCTCTCTCTCTCTCTCGTCTGTTATAGGGTGTTATATCATGCCATATATTACTGTGGTATGGAGTGTGCCGCTATCATATTGATGGTTATCGTACCACAGTCCTCAGCCGTCTGCTTCCTACCCCCCTTCTCCCACCAAACTCCCGCATTCCCCCTCACCACTACCTCAGTCCTCTTAAACGGATAAACACCATCTTTTTATACTTATTCCTATACTTACACTTTATTTATACTTATCAGGTACGGAAATATATAGATGACAGAATAACAGAGGAATGGGGGATGTAGCTTGCTTGCATGTGTTTCATCATACTGGGAGTGGTGCGTCAGTGTGTGTGTGTGGCCCTGGTTAGCGGGGCCTTGGCTATGTTTTGCGGTATAATGACGTAAACGAGAATAATTATATTTAGTTGTAGATTGAAGTTAGTGATAATGAGTGTAATTAAGCGCGAATAATGTTTAGTTGTAGAATAATAATAATAATAATAATAATAATAAAAATTACTTATTATAAAAATTGAGAAATCTTTAATTGGAGAAAAAAATAATAACATTGATAACACTAAATTTATTAAAGTAACGTAAAAAAAATAATTAGATAAAGATGAAATACAATGTAAAGAAAGCGAGTCATAATTATTCAGTCAGATTTCAATTTATTTCGTTCGCGATTTTTTCATTACGTTTTTTATGATAAGTAAATTATTTCTATATTGAAGGGTTTTAGTTTATTGTTATCTGGGTTTTGTGTGTTGATTATCTATACTTGTTTCTGGTCTTGGGGGGGGGGTGGTGCTGGGGTGATACTGTTATGGCCTGGTTAGTTGACTTGTACTGTTAACGGGTGTCGCATGCTGCTGATAATGTTAGTTGAAAGTGTGTGTGTGTGTGCTGGGGGGGAAGGGGTGTTGCCATCTGTCGCTATACTGCTTGGTGGTGTTGCAGTTACCAATCATAGCTGTGTGTGGTGTTGCAGTGTTACCATTCATGGCTTTTTTTGTAATGTTGCAGTGTTGCCAGATAGATAATACCAGGGTGACAGTAAACACGAGAGAAATATTTGTGTTGCGTGTTACTGCCACCTTCCCTACCACCATGGGGGGAGGGGGTAGCAATGGGGACAGATTACAAATATTTTTTAGATGAGATCAGATTTTTATTAGTATGACAGATTACATGGTTTAAAAAAATGGGCAGTAGATTCGGATTTTTTATAATATGGCAGATTACAAACTTATAACTGGTCCACTGCATACGGATTTTGGGTAAAGACGGATTTTTTTTGTTAGGAATGGTCTTCATATTTGCCAGATTTTGGATAGTTTAAACACGGTTTTGTTATTTTAACGTTTCATAACTTGACAGATTTTTAATACAGGTTTTTGTTATAACTTGGTTTTATATCCCAGATTTATATTAAAGACAGGATTATCGATTTAACTGATGCCAATATACCAGATTTCTACTAATTTATCGTTTAACCGATCTATATACACCAACTTTGTACACCTTTACACCAGATTTATATTGTAATCCGATTTAGATGATTTACATAGTCATTACACACCCGATTACACACCAAGGCATCACTTAAATCGGCTGTGAATGGGACGATTTCAGTAACATTATCCACATCATTAAACAGCAGATTGCTATTGGGGGTTTCACCTAGGTGATTAGCACACGGTGATTGGTGATTGGTTCAACTCCGGTACGTACGGAAGCCGGTTGTGATTTGCCGGATAAAAAAAATATACACAGATTGCCGGATAAAGATGAGGTCTATCTGATCAAGTGTGTGTTTGGGTGAAAGTCGTCTCAAGTGACATCATCTCACGGGACGATTTTCACCCTCACTGACAAGAGGCAATAAGGGTGATTAGGGTTTGGAGATTGAGGGTTGTGGGTTAGGCTCTTAATGTCTCTTCTGCTGGTCCACCCCGGTGATAGGGTGTGTGTGGGGGAATTGTTTTCCCAATTGGTTGGATGTTTTTTCAGAGTTGTTCGTTTGTGTGTGTCATCCATCTCGCTCCGTTTGTCTGTCGGTGTTAGCTTTGATTGTCACTGCGTGTGTTTGTGTGTGTGTGTGTGTGTTTTACTGCTTATTGTGTTGGTGCAGCAATGTTTGTTTA